GTTCGGAGGGGGGGGGGGCAGGATGCAGGAGTGGCTCCCACCACCACATGCACCCCAGGACAGCACCAGGGGGGTGCCCCCAGACCTGTGCAGGGCAGGTGGGCTGCAGCTGCAGGCTGGGGCCATACTGGACTCTTCCCAGCAGGGGGTTGAGACAGCTGGGCCAGGCTGTGCTCAGGGTGGGTGGTAGCACTGGGAGGGGGGGACAGACTATGACAAAATTTGGGGTGGCTGCAGTTCCCTCCCTCAGTGCTGCCACCCACCCCAAGCACAGTGCAGCCCACCCCAGCCCCCCTTCCCCCGGGAAGAGCAAGGCACAGCCCTGGCCCCAGTCTGCCCCATGCAGATCTGGGGGCATGCCCTTGGACCTCCCCTGGGCCCTTCTGGGGTGTGCGCAGCTGTGGGAGCTGCTCCCCCTCCCCTTGCCCCCTGGATGAGCTGCAGCTCTGTCCTGTGCCCTGCTCCACCCTGGCTGGGCAGCACCTACACGAGCCCCTACCCCACTCCCTCCCTCACCAGATCTGCACCCCCCATACCCCTTCCACCACAGACTCACCAGCTGCATGCAGCTCTCCAAGCTGTTGGGCTGTGCTCCTCACTGCCTGTGTGCTGTGCTGCAGCTGTATGCACAAGCATTTATCAGCCAAATTAAATCAGCCACATTAGGCCAATTTCTGATGCAGTGAATTTTCTTTATATTGGTGCTGATCCAATAATCAGACTGATGTACTGGTGCACGTCTAGTATTTACATCCATTTATCTTGCTAGTAACATGTCTGGTCACAGATAACTATTTTAAATTGATTCTTCCAGCTCCCTGATGTTTGTTTTTTTTCCTCAGACTATCAAGTCTTCGTTTTATCAGTTTAAGACAGTGCCCAGAAATTAACAGAATATCCCAGCTCTGGTCATAACCTGGCAAACCTATGTTCAGGGAGCAGTCATAATATGGCTGAGGAGGTAGACAGCCCTACCATTCACCTATACAAGCCAGCAGAGCTCGCAGGAGCACTTACTGTGCTCTTTCAAACACTGGAGTAAGGAGAAGGGAAACTCCTTTTGGAGTTCCTACTGCAAAAACAGGCCCCAGTTGAAAGAGCAATGGAACTGAAGATATGTTGCAGTGCACCATCATTTGGATGGCTTGATTAACACTGGAATAAGGTCGTTCCTTTAGCACAACTTTTTTTTTTTTTAAACCATGTCTCTGCTTTGGAAGTAGTTCACCATCTATAGGGCATTAAGAAAATAGAGGGAGAGCACTCATTCAATTAACTTTCTAATAATTTGCTTTTCCTTTGAGTACAGACTGTTAAGAACTCTGCCATTCACTTACCTTATCAACCCATCCCAGGTCTTTAACCTTGGATACCAGGTATATTAAAACATGTTTAGTAATACACCAAGTTGGGAAATCTCAGTTTCTAACGAAGAATTAATTTATATAGCTAAAGATTTTAAAGCCAGGCTTAGCTGCATTCCTGTTACTGTTACCCACTACAGCAGAATTCTGCTGTCAGTAAGTAGCATCCAAAGCATTCACACCAGTTACCTGGATTTTGGAAACCAGTTTCATGAAAGGCCAGCTGTCGTCATGTCGTACTAGCTCCACGACAAGTTGTTCAAAAGCTGACAATTCATGGACTCCACTCTGACGCCCTGAACTCCTCCTGTTTAAAGCAGTCTGAGGAGAAGAATCTAAAAAGAACACAAAATTGGCGAAACAACACTACTAATCTAGCCAAATATATATAGACACTAAACATGAAACAAGAACCATTACAATGCAAGAGGAAGGGACAAGAGAAGGTAAAAGATCAGGCAGTCTGGTACTTCAGAGAAGGGATGGAAACTTTGTCTCTCCTCCCTTGTACACCGAGTTTCATCCCTATGTGAAATAGTATTTCTGTTGATAGCTTTATTTTGCTCAACTGCCCAGTAAGATTGGGGTGAATTCTAAGAGAGGCAAGAGTTGCCAAGGGATTTCAGCTACTTATAACTCCAAAATTTTAAATGAAGTCTCATCTGCCTTCTTTAGTCTGTGACCAGCAAGAACAGTACAAAGCTAAAAGGAACTTTTTTTGCTGTTTACTTTGAAAACACTAGTAAACATCCATTTCCATTTGGTCAAGTATCAGATAGTAAATTGGGCATTATAAGTTGAGAGGAATACAGAAGACTTCATTTTTGGAGACTTAGTGCCAAAACAGCAGCCCCCACACAATTCAGTTTTGGTTCATGCCATTTGTCTTAACTCTATTACAACTTCTAGTAACCGACTCAATTAGTCAGAAGTATAGGCTTTTGCTGAAGTACAGTACAAAGTCAGAACACTGACTCTGGACTAAGATCCGCATCTTTCTTGTAAGCATCTGGAAGAGAGGACTTGGCCAGAATTTAGTAACAAAGTAACAAAAAAATAATACAGACTGACCCTGCTTCAGAGGCTTTGTGGTTCAGATGCTGATTAAAACAGATGCCTCAATTTTGTCCCTAAACTAGCGATTCTCAACTAGGGTGCCACAGCACTCTGAGGTACCTTGTGATCCTTTCAAGAGTACCACAGGGTGCCAAGCAACATTGGCATGTTGGTATGCAAACATGATTCACAAGATAAACCCAAAGATTAAATAAAAAGCCTACTGCAGGTCAATGTTTTTAACATTATGGATTCCTAAGTTCTTCGCAACAGAAGAATTGCCATTGTTGTTTTCTCTATAGTCCAAAAATAAAGGGAAAACCACGACGTCGTAATTTCTAAGGGGTGCCTTTAGTTTAACAATGATGCCTTGAGCCCTAGACTTTCAAACTTGAAGCCATGCCTATACTACTACTTCCCTTCCCCAGATCAGCCACCAAGGAAATAAACTTCAGACACTTGCAAGTGGGTGATGTGCCCTTGTAAGAGCAATTACAGAGTGTACATGGCTTGGGAGCCACACTCAAATCTTCCTACCAGGCCATATTTAGGCTCACTCTCCCTTCCCTCTCTCTCTCTAGCTGAGTGAGGCTTGAAGAATGAAGAGGGGGCCACTCCCAAGGTCTTCATAACAGCTAATTGCAGATCTTGAATGTGCCCCACTAGCTGTGAATAGGTGGGACTTTTTTCCTGCAGAGAACATTGGATAGGAAGAAGCTGTGCAGGCCAGGCCTAGACTGAGGCTTCTGCAGGTTTGGAAGCAATCCAGATGGAGTACCAAGACACCCAGCAATGCAGATTGGAGCTTGCAGGCAGCCAATATATTACTTGTCTGCAGAGCACACCTACAGTCCCACCTGATACCACAAAAGGCACTGAGTTCAGTGCAAAGTGCTGTACCCTCAATGACCAGACATTACCTTTGAACACAGGAGTTCCCACCAGGGAACTATGCTACAGTTTCTGCCAGGCCTTTTTACATGAGACAGGAATTGGTTAAACATACCATGTAAACAAAAATAACCCTGCCAGCAAGGACCAAAACCTAGGACCCCAGCCCCTTTGCAGCACTTGAACCACCTGCTAGAGCCAAGCTCCATTTTGGTGGTTCTTCTCTGGCCCATGAACCTTACATTCTTGGGTTGCCCAGCTTCAACAGAAGGGATGAAAGGTGTCTCCCCCTGACGTATCTATTGCCCAAGGGTTGGAGCATTGTCCTAGGAAGTGGGAGATGCGAGTTAGAACCCTTCAGGTTGAAGTGAACCTAAATCCCACATCTTCTATTCCCTGGGTCAGTGCTCCCATCACAGAACTGTTGCATCAAAGCTGGACATCCCCACTACCAGCCATGTTTGAGACTTAAAATCACCCCAGGCACCATGTGTTACAATGAAGCCAGTACTGGTAGTGATGCGTGTTAGTGACCTGGTTGATTAGGCATCTCCCTTCTGGGCACTCTGAACCCCAAGATGGAGCAACTTGCTGTGCAGCCCTAAGACATGTGCCTAAGTTCTTAGGAGGGGTAGCAGTTCAGTACACCTTGCATCTAGAATCTCCCACTGGTTGGCTCTAGATGCCTCCTGCCTGAGCACCCAGGTGCTCTGGATCATCCTTCAGAAGCAGATAACCTTGTCTGTCGACTAGAAGATAATCTAGTTGCTTAACTCTGCCCATTCAGAGGGACATCTCAGAGCAAGGTACCCAGTTTTTAAAAAGGAGCTGCTGTGCACAATTGGAGCACCAAAAGACAATGGTTTGGATCCAACTCTTCGTACATAAGTCTCTTTTAAACAGAGGAAAGAAAGGAGGGCAGAGGAGTTGAGCAAGGTCAGTGTAGAAAGATACCTTTTAAGAACAGTATAGAAAGGGTTTTTCTTTTGTTAGAAGGATGGAGAGTGAGTGGGGGAAGAAGGGAAGCCAGCAGCTGACATAATACTCTCCTGTAATCCCAAACTATTCATTTCTCCTTCATACTAATACAATTAAGTCTAGTTTTACCCTATTTGCTGACCAGTTTTAGCAACATAAGCAAAGCAGAGTGACCCTCTAATAACAATGGTTGTAAATAGCACAGAATGAGACAAAAACATTAATTTTTTGGTGCCATACTTCAACCAAGCTCTGCAAGTTATCCAGTTGTGCAGTCGCATTATTTAGACACTGGCTTTTCAAAAGTATCACCCCCCCCATGACTATTTTGGAATACGTTAGCTAACATAGCAAAAGACATTGGTTTTCAGGTTGAATATCACTTTGTTTTACTCATTCTGAACTTCACTGCCTCACTTATTTCTCTGTTCTCCACTGTTTACTTGATAGTTACTGTTGAGACTGTGCTTTAACACTTGCCTTTACACTTTAACACTTGCCTGTGTAACACTTGCAGTTACACAGAATACAGGTTCAGTCTAGCTCCACTTCCAAATCTACTGTTTGATAGCTGGCAACCCCTCCACATATTAAGATCACTTGTAACTTGAAACTGTCAGGTTACTTTAAAATAGTCATTAATGCTTTTGTACTTTGAAGGGCCAACAGGTTAATTTAAAACTGTAAATGTCTTGCAGATTACAAATTTCATATAATCATTTACACTTTAACCCGTTGCGTGTGTTTGTCCGTTCCCCCCTCCCATCATCCACGCATTCAAGTAAGTAATGCATCTAGTATCCTTAATAAAGGAGCTTTTCTAACCTGTAGATTGCCGTTTCCGGCCTCTTCTCTTAGGTTCGCTATCCTGAAGAGAGAGTTTTGGTGCAGAAACCAGAGATTTCTGGACCCGTGCATTTGAGTCTGTGCTTTCAACAACTCTAAACCCAAAGGAACTGGAAGGACTGTTTTCTGGTGTATTATCAGCCGTCTTCCGTCCTCTACGTCGTCTTCGAGGACCAAGTAATTCCACAAATACATCTGCTTGTAAAGCTCCTTGACTCTGACGAGTAGTGCGGCTGTTAAGTCTTAATGAAGGCTTCATGACTGATGGAGGAGCAGACTTCACTTTTCTTAGCCCCCTTCTTCTAGCTCTGGAGGAAGACGCAGTTTGTTTAGGAGTATTTTGCTGACTCCGTGAAGCATATCTTCCAGTAGCCTGGCGCTGGCTACACCGACTTGAGAAGGGGTTGTTGAGTTTGGCTGCCCTCATTTTTAATGGAAACTTGACTTGTGGCCTTCTTTGTTTAGACAGGCTGTACAAATGTAAATAAAATAGCAGCATTGCACATTTAACTATTCCAAATCATCACAAACGTCAACTCCCTCCTTTCTTCAAGGCTTTTAATTCAGTATATTTTAAAAAACATTTACCTATTGCTCAGAGTTCTCAAAGTCACAAGTTTTATGCAGCAGGTATTAGAGATAGATTCTAAACACTGGGAAGCTTAATAGGAACAGCATGGTATTAGAAATTTATTATGACAGGACACCTGGGTTTGAGTCTTTAAATTTGTTTCTTGGGTCAACAGTGGTTGCTAGGTATTGTACAGGAATTGCCTGCCCAACAGACTAACTGCAGTGATGACAGGCTCCTAAGGAAGTCTTGTTCAGTCATTAGGGCTAAAACACAAGGTGCTTATGCCCTCAGGAGGGAAGAGTGAAGACTGAGAAGGGTGATCCAATGGACCACAGCATTTGCCAGTGACAGATGGTGATATAAATTCTCTCAGACTATTGAACTCCAACTTTCAGAGGTAACAGGAGCCTTCCCCTATGCTCAATACAAGTGACTGAGGAAGGAAGGAATTGTGCTAAAGACAACTTTCAACTTGGGAAAGTGTTCTCGACTTGTATGTCAAATCTCCCAAAGTTTTCATCCTGATTTACTTGACTCTATTAAGGAAGCAAAAAAAGTTTAGTGCATCACTCCTAGAACCCTCCTGATATGATTTAGGAGAGGAAGTTTTGGTTTCTTTACTGTTTGTATTCATCATACACATTGAGCTCAAAAACAACTCATAGGAATATTTTAGATTTGATCCATAGACTTGATTTTTGGGTTCCACAATTCAAAAAGGATGTGGAGAAGCTTGAGTGCCGGAGAGCCACGCACATGATCAGAGGTCAGGAAAACAGACCCTATGAGAGAGAGTGCCATGGAAAAGCACAGGCTCAGGGGTGATCTGGTGGCCACCTACAAATTTATTAGGGGTGCTCACCAGGATCTGGGGGAACGCCTGTTCACCAGAGAGCCCCAAGGGATGACAAGGTCAAACGGTCACAAACTCCTCCATGACCATTTCAGGCTGGACATAAGGAAGAACTTCTTTACTGTCCAAGCCCCCAAGGTTTGGAATAGACTGCTGCCGGAGGTGGTTCAAGCGCTACCGTGAAGGCATTCAAGAGACATTTTGATATTTATCTTCTTGGGATTCTATGATCACTGCTGACTTCCAGCCCTGAGGGCAGGGGGCTGGACTCTATGATCTTCCAAGCTCCCTTCCAGCCCTAGCGTCTATGAATTTGAAGTCCATGACCTAACTGGGAATTCACATTCAGAACAGCACCTCTCCAGTGTATCAAATTTATCCCTACAACTTTAGGCATGGAAAAGCATCCAATGAGCAGTGACCTCTGGTGGTGGTCTACCACATGCACATTTGTTAAAGAGGTATTATCATCCGTAAGTGCACAAATATCCATTCTTAACACCAATAAACATTTAAACCCAGTAACAAAGGCTAAAGTCACCATCACCCTAACTATCGATAATGCTTTCAGACTACAACCAAAGAGACAGACTAAAAGGTACATTTAAGAACCAAGAACATTTAGTAATCCAAGGACAACTGGTTCTCAGAAAACCATTTCTACAGCTCCTGACCTACCTTATTTCTTCTTCTTCTTGAGATTCATCATCATCATCTTCTTGCTCTTCCTCATAATCCTCGTCTTCACTCTGTCCCACTTCCTCATAGCTTGCTTCTTCTTCCTCTTTGTCAAACTGTTCTGCAGCATCTTCATCACTTTCCACAGACGGTCTCTGTCTTGAGGAGAGGCGTCTAGAGCGCTGTTTTGGTCGGCATTCTGGACAAAACCAGTCTGCTTCAGGAATGGCCTGGTAAACAAAAATGCATTAGTCAAATGCCTCCCGTGTTAAGCCTTACCTGAATTATGGATTTTCAAAAGCATTTTTCTCCCAGTACCTTGAGCTTGGGTCTGATACAGTAGGTATGATAACCTCGGTCACAGCCATCACACAGCACCATGCTTTCTGCATCACCCTTCTTTCGGCACATCTTACAGCGAGCATTTAGGATGGATTTAGACCAGATGATGCTCCGATCCAGTGTAGAGAGATGCAGGAACACTTGGGACAGGCTGGCAGAAGAAAGAAGAGATTCCCTCCAGCGATCCAGTACTGTTTTATATGAACGCCCACCATCACTGGCATCTTGCATTAAAAGGGAGGGAAGAAAGAGAGAGAAAAGCAATATCACATTACTTAAAATGAACATCCATGTTTATTCTAGAGTGTGAGGCTTCTAGGATTTTTAACTCATATGCAAAAGGTAATTTTTTTTTAATTTCCGTTTTAAATAATAAAAAGCAACCTATTACTCCTTTTCTTTGCCATTCAGTGCCAGATTTCCTGGCTTCCATTCTCGTACAGATTTTAGAACAAGCCAATGAACCACAACTTTTAGTCTTTAACACCAAACTGATGTCATACGGGGTTTGCATATCCATGTCAAGTGTCTTGCTTTAGTATCAGATTTGAAACCCAACCTGTCATTAAATCAGAACTCTGTAGTCTTCATTTCATTAGTGTCTTAACTGAAAAATTCCCAACCACCTCTCCCTCACATATTCACATTTGCAGAGGTCAAAGAGGAAGTAAATTAGCATTATTAATAAATCATTGCTGTAAATGTACTGTACATTATTTTATATTCTCTCAATTAAAAAGAACCAACCATGCACCCTAGGCTTAAAAGAAAAAAGTAGTAATTCTAAATTGCATGATCCTGTGCTGCAGGGAGCCTAGAATCAGACAACTGAGAAGGAACCTACTACACATACACATTATATAACTTGTCTCCAGTCCCTCAGAAGTCCTCTCTGCAAGTCTGTCTGTGGAGGCCCTGTGTAGTGTAAATTACATGGACTTGAAATAAGTGTAGAGTGGCTCAAGAGAATCGCACCCCAGACAGCTGCCTCTTTACCAATGCATACAGAAGGTAAGGGCATCACTATGGCCCAGTGACCTCTAAATGTCCAACAAATTTATGCCAGCTATAATGCTGGTAACTGAATAGTGTTCTAACGAAGTATCAGATGTTAAAACACAGACAAGTTCTTTTTTATGGAAAAAGAAATAAGGCACGATGAGACCGAGATGGCAGTAGGCCTTCAGAATGACTGTCAGCATTGAAGTACAACAGCCTCCTGTTAACAAGACTAGCATTGCTGCTGCTAAAGAAGCAGAAGGTTCTTGCATGAATAGAAAAAGCAAGCTATTGCCCATACAAGCAGAGAAAGTCAGTATAGTAACTTTGTAACTGTAAAAAATAGCTTTTTTTTTTTAAGGAAGAAAACCTAAAGTGATATTCTTGATCCATTTAGCCTGGGGCTAATTAGTCAAAGGCACTTCCTGTTTTACCAGCTGTGGTAAGTGCAGAAATGGAACACATACAATCCTGCTGTTAACATACATGTTTCTTCCTTGTGATAGGAAGACAGAAATCCCAGATTCCATCCTCACATTTCATTGGCTATACAGAAGGTAAGTGCTTCCCATCCAACACTTGTCTTCTGTCCCAGGACCTAGTAGACCCCTCCTCCTATTACAGATATTTATATTACACTAGCAGGTACCACCAGAGTCGCACCATGGCAGCAATAGTAAGAGGAGGGGGGGGGGGGGGGGGGGGGGGGGGACGGACACAAAAAACAAAAACACAAAAAACAACACACAAGCAAGGGGCATGTATGGATATTTAACCATTACTGGGCTGCATAGACAGACCCAGAATTGCTCATTACACTGCAAAGAGGGGCAGAGCTTGGGATAGAGAAAGTGGCGACAAGTTCTTGAGCTTTTCATATATACAAAAAAGACCCAAGCTGTTGTAAGCCGTCTCCATACTTATTACTTCATATCCAATAAAGAAGGCTAGATTAGCGATCAATATACTGTACTGGGACTGCGGATATCTTGCCACAGATTTCTTCCATGACCTTGGGCAAATCCTTTTAATAGGGAGCTGAAGTTGTGTGTCTCCTTTTTACTTCTACTCTGTCTCTTCACTTCATTGGAAGTGCTGGTGAGAAAGAAAAATGGTTTCTTATTTGCCTGTACAGTGCCCAATTCAATGGGACCCTTTTGTCTCAGTTCACACCTGTAGGTATTACTACAATACAAATGAACTTGTTTGAGAAGGACATATCTTAAGTCAACTAAATTAGTTCATAACTGTTATAGAAGAAAAGCTTGTTTCTATACATTATGTAGATTTCTGCATCAAAATGCAACATCTTTCTTTTTTATTTCAGCTTGCAAGTTTGTTTTGGTTTTTTTAAGCACACAAAGTAAGGATGTTTTTTTTCATCTGGCATATAGGGTAGGAAGACTATACATTGGGTTAACTATATAAATATCAAAGAAGTAACAAAATATTGTAATAGTCTAGCTATAAAAAAAAAAAAAAAAAAGTAAAATTTTGTTAAATGTTACCATCTTTCTGACTAGACTGGTCTTCCTCTCTCTCCCTCTTTTTATCCCCCCTTTGGTTCCTTTTATTATCTTCTGCATCACCTAATGTTAAATTTGCAAAGTTATTTCAAACATCTTTTCATGGTTCATTGGAATATTCACCAGCATGTCCAACACTTGTATGTTTGCCCCAGAGGTCCAACAAGGAGGTTTTTTTCCCCCTAATGTGAAAGGGAGGGGAGAAGAACAATGTGGGTGGGAAACTGACACCCTGGATTCAGTCCAACTCCTACTGCAAATAAGGGTAAAACTGATCTATGTCTCTGTTTTTGTCCAGTACAGCCGATTATAGAAACAGCTCACTGACTTAAGCTTTGTCTAACCTGCCCTCATAACACACAGCCCTGGTGAGAGCACATTTCCCAGTTACAGACCCATCTATTAACATCCTTGCCATGAGAAGTGCAGCCTGCTGGGGAATATGCTCCTCTGTCACAATGTTACATTCAACATAAGGGGAAAGTTTGTCAGAGCAGAAGACCACTGTCTTGGGCTCCTCCATGACCTGGATGAATTCTCCCCCCAAAAATTGATTTCCACTCCAAATACAAGGTACATTTCTTTGATCTTGCCTTCTCCAGCAGGGAGATAGCAGGGCGTACATTTAAAAAAAAAAACAAAAAAAACAAACAACCACCCAAAAAAACAACCCCCTACATTATACAACTCTCCCCCTGTGGAGAGGCTGAGAGCAAAAACAAACCACACACAACACAGGTTAGTTATGGCTCAGCATTACTAGAGGGCAGATGGATAAAATGGCAATGAGGGTCATGTAAGAAATGGTACAGGGCATAAAGCATGGAAAAAGAGGAAAAAACCCAGGAGTTTCTCTTCCTAGAGCCAACAAGACAGGAGTGGGTACAGAAGAAAAGTTATAGCAAGTGCTGTTTATAAGGTTAAAGGACAGCAAAGACTCCCAATACTTGAATACAAGCCCGCCCCCACCCCCCCACATGCACAAAGAAAGGAGGGAAAACAGTGAACTAAAAGCAAATCATCTACCTAAAAGATCTAGACCAGGAACTGGAAGCCTAGAGCCCATGGGTCAGATCCAGGCTACGAAGCTGGAGCCT